AAGGACTACGTAACAATATGACAGACTCTGGTCCACATTCCCATCACAAGGGTGAAGGGGGTGATAACGAGAGTGTGGAGTGTGAAGGGTTTTCATGAATATCGCTCGAAGGGGCACACAACACTACATTAGGAATAAGCACGGTAAAAACTGTGACAAGGAAGGTATGATAGGAGGATATAGGAAATGTGAATAGGCCAGGGCAGAAGGTGGGATACCATAATTGTTTGGCACACGTTTAGTCTAAGGATGGGCTACATTTGTCCATTTGACGAGTTGTAATATGGTGCTAAGAATGGCGAGACTCACTGACGATGCCGGCGAAACGTTTGTGAATGTACCGCGTCCACGATCCGACTTTGGAAATAATTATGCATACAATGGACTTGGGGCAAGGTGCGCTCCTCTAAGTCTTCCTACCAATATGACCAAGTTGCGAAAACAAGGTCAAACAACTTGTAGGAATATTTTTTTATGCACTTTCATAAAAAATGAATGTTTCAGCAGATTTATCAAAACCCAGTTACTCTTTGTATTTTGTCATTACGTTATATCACACTACTTATAATCATAATGAGTAGGCGTGGAGATGATCACTAGATGCAGACTATACGTCCAATTACTGTCTGCGCCAGGACTGCGGATGAGAAGCCGTCATTAGGCAGGAGCCATTTCGCGTGCTAGTCTTAAATTGGGAAAGCAATAGCAATGCCTTTTCACGTCCATATCATTTCACACATCTCCATACAACGCGTCGATTTCATGGGGAGTGTGTCAACCTTTGCATGCCCGCAAGTCATGGAGAAGATATCGTGTGTTTTTGATTGAGTGGAGGAGGACCGGCATGTGGAAACCAGTTAGGCTGTCTGTCGACTTGGGGGTGAGAATAACTAAAACCTGGCGGCGAAAAGGGTGAATTTGGGTTGTTGATGTCTGGGATTAGGTTCAGGCCACGCCGTCGCAAGTTTTCATGCCTCGTGCCCCGCAGACAAGTGGCGTAGCCTCGTTCGCCTGGCCAGCCTGTACCAGGGACCTGCAGACCGAAGCCCAAAAGCCCATTCTGCCTGTTCCCAGTGGTGCACACCCCCGAATGGAGTGTGAACCAATTGAAAATACCCCACCCCCCTTGGGTGACATGTTCGTAGGCCCGGGCGAGTGCATCTTGAAAAAGAGTAAATGTGCTCTGTTCTTGCTGCCTGTGCAGAGGTGGGGAGTCGAAGAGGTAATTACAGAAAACCGGACAATTTGCGTGTGTTTTGGGGAAAAAATCTGGTATACTCTGTGGGTTGGCTGCTCGCGCCTATTAGTGGTGCATATACCCGAGCTACCGGAGGGAAGTACATGTTTGGCAAGACAGGAATGACTGAGTGGTCCGACCGGGGGCGTCAAGCATCGGAAGGACAATCTGTACTCTCGTTTAGAGTTGAAAATCTACCGTATCCCCTTAACCACCGGCCACTCATTCCAGCCCGGTCAGGAGACCGGGTCATTGCCCTTCCTCGGGAGGTCGGCAGCGACAACTAGACCGAGCTGGTGCAGAAAATGGTGCTATTTCTGCCCAAAGATCGGCATGTCCTTCACCACCTGTTTGTCCGTTTTAGGCTCCCTTCGTGCGAAGATGAGGGCACGAGAATTCCGCAATGCTCGGAGGCATGAGATCGTGTCTCCTGACATTGGACCGTCTTTGCAGTCGCCAACGGCTTGGATGTGGTAACTGAAGAGAT